ATCTTCACAGACGGAAAGTCAGCACTCCAAACTTTGGAAAACTTGAGAGAGAGAGAGAGAGAGAGAGAGAGAGAGAGAGAGAGAGAGAGAGAGAGAGAGAGAGAGAGAGAGAGAGAGAGAGAGAGAGAGAGAGAGAGAGAGAGATTTTATTATCTATCTTTCCTCGCATTTTTCAACACTAATAATTTTGACCAAATATTTATCAAACCCCTGCATCCGGGACCACAGATTAAGCTGACAGACATAGGTGTACCTGTGTTTTTGCTTCTCACATGAACTACTGCACCATGCCCGAAAGGATGAAAGTAAGGACCAACAACTTTTAACAGCAATGGAATCGGTACATCGTCCACGAGTTCTGCGGGATACACAACGTGAGAATTGAAAGGAAAAAAAAGTAAACTACATACATACGTACGTAACATACATACATATTATTATATAAATGCACACATCATACACATATAACACACATACACACATATTACACACATACATACATACATACATACATACATACATACATACATACATACATACATACATACATACATACATACATACATACATACATACATACATACATACATACATACATACATACATACATACATACATACATACATACATACATACATACATACATACATACATACATACATACCTACCTACCTACCTACCTACCTACCTACCTACCTACCGAGCTACCTACCTACCTACCTACCTACCTACCTACCTACCTACCTACCTACCTACCTACCTACCTACCTACCTACCTGCACTACATGTATACATACGTACTTATTACGTACGCACACAGACAGACAGACAAACAGACACGTACGTTTTGATAGACTAACAAGACAGACAGACATCCATCCATCCACCCACCCATCCATCAGTCCATACAGACATACAGACGAACAGACATAGAAACATAATATACTGACATAGGGGGAGGGAAATCTTTTTATAAAAAATGTTGATTCGATGTAGGGTTCTATGGGGGGAAAATAATATATAATAATATAAAAAATTAATTACTCGTATACAGTCTTTTCTTACGTAGGATCCTATTACTCTGGTTATAAGCGAAGGTGTCGTTCAGGGAATATATTATATTCATCCTTCTCAAGAATCCGGACCATGACAACTTGTGAAGTGCATCCCAGAAACTCTTAGCTCTCTCTGTGAAGATATTTAAAAACATAAACTTACTATAATTTCATCTTCTATAATATAAATTGTTAATACATCAATGACAATAATAATGGCAATAATAATGACAATAATAATGACAATAATAATAATAATAATAATAATAATAATAATAATAATAATAATAATAATAACAATAATAATAATAATAATAGTAACAATAATAATCCTTCATTATTAAGTACAAAGGAACGTTGATCAAATACGGACTATTCCTTTGATTTCGACGGATAATTTTAACTTATTGCCTGGTGAAATTATCCCGCTTTTGTCACAACTTGTCTTTCGTTACAAAGGGCTACGGTTTTAATATAAACCGTGTTTATGCCAGAGAAACAGACGTTATTATGGAGGAAAACTTTGAAAATCAATTATTTAAAAAGATATCGGTCAGAGAATGAATGGTAACACTATGGCAAGGGTGTACAAGTAAAAGATTTTGGTTGGAGGTTCTAGCCTTCTGTTATTTCATTTTTCCTTTCAGTCAGTTACCTTCACAGCGCTGAATATTCAACTCAGATTTTTTTAAAAAGCATTTAAACCAAAAGGCTGCTATAAAATAGGCCGCTATTTTTTAAAATCGTATAGGCTGCTATTTAATTCTGCCCCTACTCCATCTCAATACACAATACATGAATTGATAATTCCCAACCTTCCTCCTCCAACCAGCAACCTCACACGTCTCCCAAAAACAACAATAAACAAAGACGGGCCAGGACTCACAGGCTCTCTCATTCCCCTCAACAACAAACTGTCCACACAACACAACAATGTCATCATCACAGATTGTTCACTTGGTTTACTCCCTGACCAGCTAGCCCGGGTACACAATGGGCGACGTTGGCTTTGTCTAGAGTGGACTGCAGTGCAGATAAGCCCTGTTTCAAATCCGTCATTATTATGCTCAAACGAAAGTTGCTAGGCACGGACTAATCCTTTGATTTCGACGGATAATTTTAACTTACTGCCTGGTGAAATTATCCCGCTTTTGTCTCAACTTGTCTTTCGTTACAAGTCATCAATGGGCTACGGTCTTAATACAAACCGTGTTTCTGCCATAGGAACAGACGCCATTAAGAAAGACAACTTTAAAAATCAATTATTAAAAAAATATCTGTCAGAGAATGAATGGTAAAAATATTGCGAGGGTGTAAAAGAAAAAGTTTCTTGGTTGGTGGTTCCAGCTTTCTGTTACTTCTGTAACTGTCAGAGGTTACATTTTTCCTTTCAGTCAGAAACCTTAATTGTGCTGAATATTCAACTCAGAATATAAAGAATTCTGCTCCTACTGAACTCAACACAGTAGATGAATTAATATTTACCACCCGACCCCTCACCCCCTCATGTAGCCAGCAGCCTCACGCGTCTCCGAAAAAACAACAATAAACAAAGACGGGCCAGGACTCACAGGCTCTCTCCTTCCTCTCCACAACAAACTGTCCACACAACACAACAATGTCATCATCAGAGTTTCAAAACTTGGTCCCCTCCCTGACCAGCTAGCCGGGTACACAATGGGCGATGTTGGCTTTGTCTACACTGACTTAATACCCTTAAGTCCAAAGGCGAAATGTTGTCCAAATCTATTTCCTTACTCTGTATTTCAAGTCACCAATGAGCGACAGTCTCAAGATCTGGCTTACTGTTACAGACAATGCAAAAGTTCAGTGAAAATGAAAAAGAAAATGAAAAAAAAACAACTAAGTATATTTTCAAAGGCATCAATGAGAATAGCGAGAGCGTTTGAAGGTCACGAAGCAAAAGTTGTTATAGGGAAGTTTTAGCAACATATTTCTTCTTTAACAGTCAGAGACCTCACATTTTCCGCTGCACTCAGTGACCTGCACTATGCCAAAATTAAATATTAACTCAGACAAATAAAACATAAAAAACAACATACATTCATATAGCTAATGCCATTCTTAAATATTTTCTGCCTGACGTATCAATACACAATGACAATTCAAACAAGCATTTTCCAGCGTGCAAGTCTTGCAGCTTCCACCCAAAAAAAAACAAAAAACAAAACAACAATAAAAAAAAGGCGGGCCAGAACTTAGAGTTCCCCACCTTCCCCTCCACGACAAGCTATCAAAACACCACAACAATGTCATCATCAGCGATACTAGGACTCCCGGTAACACCTTCCTCTCCAAAGCGTACTGTCAAAACAAACAATAAACAATGTCACAATCAAAGATTTCAAACTTGGTTCACTCAGTCGCTAGCTAGCCCGTGCACACAATGGGCGCTGAGGTGTTGACACGTCTTTGATGTTAGCCGCCATGGTCAGTGGGTCCGTAATTTATCCCCCCTGATTGAGTCTCACACCTCAGGGCAAGATCTCATCCGCGTACACCAGTTGATATAAAAATCGGAGACATCGGTTTCTGTGGTCAGTTCAGTCAGAACCTGCTTCCAGTCTACATCGTTCCTTGAGTTCCTCAACCGAATTTGCGTCACGTTGTACTTGGAGATGGAGAAAGTTGACGAGCATGCTGCTGCCTTCAGCGCCTTGAACTTGGATAGAGGCCTCTGTGTCGGCAAAGGAACCTCGGCCGAGGTCGTCCTTGCATCATCTCGAGACGACGTATCCAGGAAATGTGCCGTGAAGATATTCGACTTGCTGAAAGACAACCGGTGTAATGAGTGGGGGTTCATCAAGGAAGTTGATGTCTTGAAGGAGCTTCGCCATCCACGTATCGTCTCGTTACTGACGTCTTTGGACAACCCTTGCCACGGATATATTGTCTTAAAGTACTACCCGAACGGGAGCCTGGAGAAGAGTCTGAAAGCTGTGGAGCCCCCGCAGGTGCTTGGTTATATTCGTGATATCGGGGCGGCGCTAGAACACACACACAGTCGAGGAATTTTCCACCGGGACATCAAGCCGGCGAATATTCTTGTGGACGAGGAAGACCGCGCCGTGCTATGCGACTTTGGCCTGTCAGGACGGTTGAAGAACGGCAACACCAAAGTGACCAGATGGGTGACCACTCGCGGCTTCCATGGACCTGAAACCAAGAAAGGACAAGCGATGTGCCCTTATAAGGTAAGAAATCGTTTTTATTTCTGTGTGTAAACTATTTTTGGTTAATGTTTCTACTAGCGTTTGTTACTGGGTTTTTTTAACTGTTTGTTCTTTTTCTCCCAACTTCTCCCTCAGCAATCTCTTTCCAACATTGTAACTCTCTGTCTGTTTATACGTTTTCCACTTATTTAATCTCTCAAACACATACACCCTCCCCCCCACATACTATCTTTCACTATGTGTCCTTCTCTCTCTCTTCCTTTCCAACAGACCGTGCCCTCACCGTGTCTCACCCTCTTTCTATTTCTCTCTACCTACCTGCCTACTGTGTCCGAGTTGTTATCCTTCTACCACCTCTCTCTCTCTCTCTCTCTCTCTCTCTCTCTCTCTCTCTCTCTCTCTCTCTTTCTAACTGACCCCCCCCAACTCTCTACTTGTTTCACTTCCCATACATTTCCTCTACGTATGTACTCACTCAGTACGAGTGGTTATCTTTCTTCTCCAATTCCAATCCCCAGCCGTCTCTGTAATCAGAATAACTCACTGTGCTTTGTCCTGGTCTCACTGTGTTTTTAGTTCTCTCTACCTACTTACCTACTCTGTACGAATTGTTATCCTTCTGCCGCCCTGTTCCTTTTCTCTCAAACCACGCCCCCCCCTCTCTCTCTTTCTCTCTCTCTTTCTCTCTCTCTTTCTCTCTCTCTTTCTCTCTCACCCTTTCTGTGTCTTTTTCTCTCCCTCATTATTATCCTCTCTCTTTCCCTCTTTCTTACCACCCTCTTCTTGTGTTCAACTTTCCTTATGATTATATCTACATGTTTCCCTGCCTACCTCTACTCATCTCTTTAATTAGATTACTTTTCATATAAATATATATACTATTCATTGTTTTAGTAATTATTATGCATCCTCATTGCATGTATTGGTCTCCTTAAGCATGTTATGTCCCCCCCCCCCCAAT